TTCTGTGGTATTTTTATGATTGTAAATTGTCGCTCAGGAAGATTGAAGTTTCTCACAATAAAGCTGGCTGATAGCAACAGGTTAAGGGACAGGGGAAATTAGAGAGGAACATGTTAAGCATGTAAGTTGTCAGCTAAGCAATGTAAACGGAAGGGAATCTGCATGTCACCATTAATGCTTTGGTGCCAATAAAGGTGATCCCAATACTTCAACCCCAACACATCTGCTTGACTGCTGAGCATGTGCTCTCTGTTTCTTGGGGCAGGGGATGGGAAGAAAGATGGGGAAACTCCCCCAAAAACAAAGCAAGCAATCCTGTAAACATTATCAGACTTTACTACCTAATGGAAACAAGATTCAAGTAATTGCTGCAGAAAACAAACAGCCAAACACCAGTCTTAATCAGCATTAAAACTAACTTGCAGCTTCATTACATTTCATGACAGTTATGAAATTAAGAAAAATGCATATAAAAACTGTCTATATATACAAAATAAATTGATAGAAATGAGTGTAGTAAATGTTCAGTATTATAACAAATCACTTTATATGCAGCTGCTCTCTTTGGTACCATTTAGGAAGAGAAGAGCCTCTGATGTTACATACATCGCTATTTTTTAGGTACTGTGAAAGATGTGTTCTTGATCTGCGCTTACAATTAAAGTAGCTGCTGTTTGGAGCCTCTGTAAATGTGTATCTGAATTCCCCAATTATGTACAATTTTAGATGGTGTCCTCAGAGAACATATACTATGAAGCTCAAAGTTTTTTTTTGGTTTTAGGTTTGGGGTTTTTTTTCAGTTTTTAATAAATACGGTCAGTCAGTGCTCCAGATCTAGGCAGATCTGGTTAATTTATGTCAGAGTCAATGCATCTCTTGGCAAATCTGCCAGACACTACTGCTGCTGCAGACGCTGCTTTTTTTCCCTCCTCTTGGGGCTCTCGTGAGCTACAACCAGACCATACTTCAGAGACATCCAGAAGTTCTTTGGGTGGATATCAGATGGTATTGAACTTAACCAAACCCTCCAAACCCCAAAAGATTATTTCCAATACAGGAGAGCCACACAAGATCAAACGAGGGACGGAACAGTATCTGAAAACTGTAGGCATTTAGCACTCTGGAGAACAGGACCAGTTTCCAAGAACAGCATACCAGAAGTAGCTCGGTACCTGCGAATTCCACACTCAAGGGCCAGCTTTAACAAAAATGTTACCATAATTTCTACTCAAATCACTAAAAGTGCCTGAATGCCCTCTAAAATAACCCTCTGAATATTTAAAGTGGGAGTTTTCAATCAAAGGCTTATGATGCACCTAACTCACGACACTGCAATCTCAGGATAATACTGTAGGAAATCAGTTACGACAGAAACGTTCCTGCCCTCTTCCCATAATGTACCAGTGATGTGTATGTTGTACAGTCTGTCAATAGATTGTTGTAAGAAAAACATAGTATTAGCTGTGTAGTTTGAAGTATTCTTTTCTATTTATGGATGTCTTTGTCTGATCTTCACAGGGTTTATCATCTCAAAGACATTTCAGGAATCTCGAGAAATCACACTGAAATCTTGCCCTTTGTCAGGCTTCTATCCTCACACTGGGAGTTTAATGTCATTTTGTGTGCATGACCCGTGTGTGTACGTGGATTTTTTTATAAGAAAAAAGCAGTAAGAAGTACTAAAGCATAGTTTCTAATTCCAGCCAATGTCAACTATCCTACAGTAACTACAATACTATTTATGGCTTGCAGTAGTAATTATTTTGATGGATCTAAAAGCTTAAGGGCTGGTATTTTTAGTGACAATCTAGTTACTTTCAAGACTTGCTGATACAGAGTAGGTTAAAGCACAAAACCAGCATGTACATGACACAGCACCCTAAACAGTTGTTTTCTCAGGATCCATCTCCCTTCTGACCTCCTGAACAGGTAGGGCTGCTCTTCTTGCTGCATTCACTGGAAGTTTTCAGCTCTTCAGTGCATGGGCCAAAAGGACCTATTTCCTGGAGCACCCCTACAGCCCCCCTGCCTCTGCTGGCAGTGATACCTAAGTCTGCTTGCAACTCAGCAGCTGAACAGCTGTTTGTCCTCACCAACTTTTTTAATTCCTGGCTTGCTCCCACGTTTTGCCTGTCCTACTCTTTGATACAGCACAGAGTGCCCTTGCTTATGGCTAGGGAGCTGTCAGGACAGAACTCTGAAAGGCAGAACAGAAGATGTCGTCCTGCCACCTTAGAGGTGATACCTCCTCCGCAGCCAGAGCCTGCCAGGAAAACTTGACTCCCCCCCATCCCACTCATTGGGGGACCCTTAGAGTTCATCAATACAATTCCCCTGGAGAACTTAATTCCTTTATATCAGTCTGGGGCTTCTCTTAGTAACCAGTTCCCCAGGGAGAAAAAAAGCACGGGGGGTTTGGGGGTGGTGACTTTGGAAGAATCATATTTGAAGCATGTGACTACGTTTCTTATTTGTCAAAGTGACTTTTCAGTAATGCCTGCTTTTACACCAACAGTAACTCTGGCCTCAAGAGTATCCTAAGCACATGGCTCTCCTCCTTTTCTCATCTGGAACATGAGAAAAATCTGGGACAAAATGTACCTGTCATCTGCATAAAGATGTCAGAAACACCAGCTCTTCATGAAAAGCCACAAAAATGTCCATCAGATATACAAAGACCCGGTTTCAGAAGACCAGCACTTGCTAGAGAACACACGTGGAGTTAGCCCAGTCTGTTTACTTGCAGTTTTTCCTGTAGATTAACTATTCTGACTGAAGAAATCAAGCAAGTTATACTGATGTTAGCCTACAGTATATATACATCCATATGGGGGTGTATCAAGCACTTTGGGGGGTGAGCAGGAGCAGAGACCATATTGCTGAATCAGTGATATTTACCATACTAGAGACATAGATTTTGCTTCTAGTTCTGCTAGATGATGACTGTGCATGTTACCTTAGCTGTAATACACTGATGCAGTAAACACCAGATGATATCCTGGGCCCTCCATTACAGTTCCACCAGTGTTCGGGGCTGCAAATTTTGGTATCCAGAACCAGCCATTTGAACTTGCAGTCTTCTGTCTCTGTTGTCTTCCCCAAGAAATTTTGCTGGTGCAGCACTGCTGAGAGCTTATATTCAGATGAGCACTTCTCACTTGACATTTGAGAAGAAAAAGCTAAACCTTTCGGATTACTGTGTAGGAAATGTTTGTTTAAGCTTTGAAATTAGCAAATGCAAAATTTCTTGTACAAAGTCTGAAGAAATATTCTGCAACTTTTATAAAACATGCAAGTTTGGACCATTACTTCTGTCTCATGAACGTCCAACAGTGACCAAATCACGTTCATAGGTTCTCAAAGTGTTCTTGTTCTAGAAGATTAAGAAAAATTTATTCTTTCCAAAGACAAACAATACTTGTTTTATACCTTACAGTATATTTGATACCTTAGTATCTCTATCATAAACATGTTTGACTTAAGTAGCAATCACTCTGGGAAAGAAACCAAACAGGTTCTTTTGATCCAGATCATCAACTCGGCTGCTGCCTTCAGTCTGTATCAAAAGGGCTCAGGTCTATTTGTAACATCAGGAAAGTTAGACAGGAAAATAGTATTTGTCACTTTTTCCAGGTGCAAAATTCCAATACCACCCACAGATGAGTTAGCAGGCTTCTCTACAGAGGAGTGAGGGGAAAAAACCACAACCCCATGTTGTTTGCTGTAGGTCTTGAACTTAGGATGGACTTTATTCCTCGCACAGGAAACACATTTTGCCTTTTGTGAACAGGTACATCACTGCACAAAGCATTCAATCTTTAGCAATTTCAGTATCACTTAAACTGGACTTGAAAGTGGCAGACTAAAGCATACAAATTTTCAGTGTGTTAACACAGATGTATGATCCAACGTTAATTTTCTCGTAAGTACTTGATACTTGTTTAAATGGTACTTTAGAACCAATAAAAACTTGTGCCTTTATTAAAAAGATAAAACAAAAGTATAAAACAGTATTTATAAACCATCAAGAGTCCCACAGAAAAAGCAGTACTCTTCCAGTTCCATTTTCTAACAACACACAACTGCAATAAGGTTTTTCTCAGGGGTACTTTACCATTTTGTTACTGCCTCATACAGAACACTGCAGACATTAACAGAAAATGTTACAATTGTTAATTCCTTTTTGGATTGGCTTTTCTTTGTATGCTGATAGACAATTGTTGAAAGTAATAATCCATGTTTTTTCAACTAAAACCCAAGTTGCTTCTTTGAGCTGTTCTTGATGTGGTTAAATAAATCCAGTCAAAATGATGAGGGGGCTCAATCCTATAGCAAAAAAGCAACACCCAAGTAAAAGGCTTTTACGTTGTTGGCATTGCCTTACTCCAAAGCACAGCTAGTAGAAGCAATCCTCAGTCCTGAAAGACTTGGAGAGCTATGGGGTAGACTGGTTAATAGGAAGAGGGGAGAAGACATCATCCAGTCCCTTCCCCTTCCCCTGGTGTTTGAACTATGTATAGTCGCACTTCAGACTCACTGGCCATGCTCTGTGTTGATTCCCCCCCCCCCCCCCTTTTTTTTTTCCTCTTTTCGATTTCTTTCTGTACTCTGGAGACCTGCTATGGAAGTGACTTCTGCAGTGCCTCAGGTATGAAGTTTGCCCATGGGGAGGTAGGAGTCTCTGCAATCTACCCCCCCCACTGCAGCATAACAGAAATGCATAGTTCCCACTCTGGACCTTGTGCATCCAAGCAGGGCACTTCAGGATTTGGCCCTTTGGTAGCAGTATATAATTCAGTGTTGCATAAATGCACATTAAGAATCTTAAGGCATCTGTCTTAACTTCCCTGCTCTGCAATAGTGCTTACAAGAATCCATTGTACTGTGCAGAAACTTGAATTTCTTGTCTCTTCCTAAAATGTTCATGTTCCATTTTGTATTGATCAACTTCTTCCAAACAAAATTAAATAATAGTCAAGCACAAAATGTGTTGCAGAAACCTAGTGAAACAAAAAAGGTAATTAGTGGAATTATACCATTAGTTTTGAAAAAACAGATCATAGTGCATTACAAGAATGCAGCTAGGTAACATGTAATTTACAGACTCCTGATTCAGGCCAGCAGTTAAGGTAACTTCAACTCATAATTAGCCTTCTGGGAGGTGTGGGTTTTTTTGTTTTGTTTTTGTTTTAAACATCTTATGTTTTCGAAGATTACCTGCACTAAGAACATCAATCCATCACCACTGACCCACAGGCTAAAGTCTCTTGGGTCCCTGATTGGCAAGAATTGCTCATTAATTTTGAATTAAATTGATAGATACGGGGACACAAATGATACTTGCCTAGGTGAGGCTGGGGCACTGCTGGCTGAGGGATTGGCCTTCTTTTGCAAATCATGCTCTTTTCTCTATAATAATCTGGGAATTTTATTCGTCAGCTGTAACTTTGCTTCTGCTGCGTGTTATAGGCATAAAATTGAAAAATACAACTATCAGTCTGTTACAGGGTATATGAAAGTGCATGGAACAGATGTTGGATCTCACAGCTATTGCATAGTTGCTTACAATTGCAGGGGGACTGGAATTAACCACCCTGGCCTACAGAAACTGTGATCAAATGCAACTGAACTCAGAATGGCTGAAACAGCATGGCTGTGCTACTGAGTTAACCATTATTTGAGATAACACATACCAAAATGCTTTTGTGTTGGGTGCAATTATGCACTATTTATTTATACAACTTTTAAAACCACAGCAGTTTGGGCAAGTGTGACACAAAGTACACAATCTTCCTGTATTAAATTTGGCCTGACTTTAGGAAGAGAAGGAGGATAGAAAGGAAATTATTTCCAAACTATTACCAGTTAATTGTCTAGCCTAAGCCAGTCACTTATGCTCCCTCTCTAGGTCAGTGGAAAGAAAGATTAAGACCTTTCTATAATACCTTGTCAAAGGCTGGTGGGATGAACTGCTCTCAGAAGATATCCCTTTCTATGAAGGACAGAAAAGCCTTAGTAACCTGTTTAGAGCAGATTAGTTTTTATATAGCTAGAGGCTGAAAGGAGTCCCTTGCTAGGACATTCATTTGCACGTTTATATAGCATGTTAAGAAAAGTTGCAAAGGGAAAACACATCATTGGTGGGTTCTCTTGGTTGAGTACGTTTTTCAGAAGTACCACTAAGTAGTCTAATTTTGGTTTTGTACATGTTTACACTGAGCAATCTGACCAACATAGTCAAAGCATCACACCATCCCCCACAGAGACCTTTTAACAGTTTTTTTTTTCCTTGAAAACAAACCACCACCACCCCCACCCCCCCAATGACTCTAGGTCAGAAGGCTTATTTAAGAAAAAAAAAATAAAATTAAGTGATCCTAAAATTACTGAGCTCACAAAACTCAAATATTGTGTTTTCTTTCCAAAGAAAATGGGAATTCCTTGCAAGTTCTGACTCCCATTTTTTTGGGGAGAAAAAAGAAAAAGAAGGGGCAGGGGGGGAAAACGGGCAGAGGAGGTGAATGACTCAGCCCTCAGCATCTACAGTTGCTAGTTGTCCACATAAGATTCGTTTCTCTTCCAGAGATAAAAGTTTAATGGGAGCTTATAAGCTCACCACAGTATGAAGTCAACATAAAAGAAGTCTAATGTAGTCACTGGAAATACACCAAGGGAAGTTTGCACATATGCAGCAGCACTCACTGTATTTCCTGAATGCAAAGTGTGCGCCGAGCTCCTACATAAAAGAAGATCACTGTCAATTCCAAGTGTGATGAAGCAGTCCGTATGCAGACATATATTTACCTATTGACCTTCCTTCCTTGTGCGCACGCAGCTTCTTAAAGAGCAGAGCACTGCCCACCAATATACTATTAAGAAAGAGACAATTAAGGAGCTGCTCCTTGAGAACAGCGCTTCCTCAAGACAGTACTTCATCTTGAAATTGCCTATTTAGCAGATTAGATTCTTTTCCCTGGTCAGGTAACAAATCCAACACTACGCACTTCAATCTAAATTACAGGATTAGTCTGACTCATCTCGGATCTAGCCAGCTCATGTTTCGGGCACTGTAGCATTACTCCCGTTCTTGTTTTCTGGACAGCCATTCTGAGTTTTCTTTAGACTTTTCTATGACTCATCCAACATCAGAGGACTCCTCTGCATTCCATGACTAGCGACTTTTGACTTCAAGATGTCTACTTTAGTTTAGTCATACATATACAGAAATGGCAATCAATTATGTTGGTCTTACCTGTTTCTCATTGAGATGGCTGGTTAGTAATAAGCTGAGATCAGCTTTCCAATGAAACTATAATATGCTTTTTTGCACCTAAAATGTGAGAGAATCTTAATTATGTGTTTTTGCAGATTTACACAACAAAGAGCAAAGACTTCAAACCCGAAAGCACATTTATCGCATTGTGCCTATTTTAGAAAAATATCTTCCTCCCCCTAATCAAACGTAAAAAGATCCAAAATCTCAGAACAGGAAGTGTGAAAGCGAGAATTATCTATCTATTACCTTAGTGTAATAACTCGTTTTGGAGCAGAGCATGAGACACAAGTTAGCCTTAACTTTTAAACATGCTGACTTGATTCTGTGGAACAAGTTTTCTTCTACTTGACTCCAACCAATTCCTAAAGACTTTTTAGGCCTAAAAAACCCTGGAAAACCCCACCGCAAACAAAACCATAGAATCATCAGAAGTGTTACGGTGCAGGCTACCTGATTTAACATTTTCCTCTTCGGGGCCACTTTCCACCCACTGACTGTCACTGGCTAGCAACCGATTTTGTGATTCACTGAGTGGTCGAGTAGGAAAGGGCTGATTGGCTCCAGAGCTGAAAAGTAAGCAAAGTCAACAGGAATTCTGTAATAGCAGTAGCTGCTTATTTCAGACATTTGTAGAGTAGTGAAGTTACTTAAGGGCAAAGCAAAGAAAAAAACCTACACTGCCAACTAAAGATGGCCCCGGGCCCCCAACCCCAATTCTCCTACAGGCTTGTTCCAGTCATCAATCTAAACCCTTACCTGACATAGGTCACTTACAGTTCTAATGAAAAAAAACCACAGATTGATAGATAAGAAATGGCATGCTGACGACAATGCTACTGCCACACAGTTAGAAAGAAAACCTAACCAGTACTCTCTGGAAGAACAACCTAATGCCATCTTATCCCATCAGTAAATGCTAGGGCCTT